ACGTACTGCAATCCTGAAGAGAACCACACTGTAGAGAAAAAAACATACACACACATACACATATACACGCATTCACACATGCACATAATAAAGAAGATTTTGATGGTGAATGAAGGATTTTGTTGGGTAAGTATTACAAGCTGCTCATTTCTCCTTTACTTTCTCATTGTTATTACCTCTGTTGTGTTTACAACTGTTCTTGATTTGACAGTATTTCCATTTTGTCTTTTTATTTCCCAGTTCTGAGATGGACACCCCTTTCTTGTCAGTCTTCAATACAAGGGTGGAGTTTAGAACGAATAAAAATATTTCTGTGGAGCTGACTGAAGATATACCCCTGAAACATTCACTGGATGAGTCATTCACCTGGCATTTTCTGTCTATTGTTTGGGCCACAAATGGAAGTTTGAAGATTACTTTTGATTTTATAATACTACCAGAGACAACAATACCAGCTGTGCCACCGTCTGATGTGTAAGTGCAATACTTTGTAGGGTTAGATTCAGGTACAAACACATTCAAGACAATGGTTCTTCTTCTACTTCTGAATTTGCCCTTAAAGGGGTGGTTGGTATTTGCATTAGGCTTTACAACTTGACAGAGGTACTGAGGAAATTGGGAATGAAAAGAGAGTTGCTAGGTGAAATAAAAAAGAGACAAGTGAAATATTTTGGCCACATTAAAAGACATAACAGTATTGTAAAGCTCATCCTAGAGGGAAAGGTTCAAGGTAGGCGAGCAAAAGGCAGACAGCGTTACAAGTGGGAGGATAACATCAAGAGATGGACGAACAACAGTATGGGTGAATGTACATCAAGGGCAAGAGACAGGGCTTGTTGGAGATCCATTGCAGCCAACCTTTATTGTGGAGACGGCACCTGATTGATTGATTGATTACAACTTGACTGTATTATCTGTGTCTTTCAACCCAAAACATCTTATTTGAGCAATTATCAAATTATTTGCATTTTACGACATGCCTGTTATGAGCAGTGGATCTATTCCCCCACCACCACAATGGGTCCCCCAGGAGAAAAGAGGAAAAGTAGTTCGAAGTTATTATGTGCTACATTTGTGACTCTGAAACTTAACGGTTCATCTGTTTTTTTTTTCCTTCTTAAATTATTCTACAATCTCTTAACCACTTGATTCCTCCTGTTTCTTTTGCTTTGTAATCTTTATTTATTGTCATTTCTTTCTTTTTACATTTCAGTTGCTCTCCCAACTTCCCCCCCCCCCACCCCCAACTAAAAAAAAAAATTGCTTTATCTTCATAATGTACATTGTTTTCCTCATCATTCCTCCTCTTACATAGTAATTCGTGCATACATTTTTTACATGCTTATTTAATTTTAAACTGGTCAACTTGAAATCAGACTTTTGTTTCTCTTACATCATTGCCACCATGTGCCATGCTGATAAGCGTAGACTGTCATGTTTTGCATCCCACATGGTCAAAGAATAAAAGATAAATGATTGGATCATAAATCAATCTTGCTAGTCTTTGTTGAGCTCCTTATTACATTTCTTCTCCCAATATGTCTGAAAAATACTGACTGTCTACATTTAAATTTTCATATCAGCTCATGACTTTCATCTGTCACAAGCAGTTGTCTATCTTCCCATTATACTTCTTGTTCATTCATTGGCACCTTTCTGTCTTTCCAGACGATAGTGTTATATTGGGCTATAAGGAGGCATGAGGCTCACAGCCCATGGCGATGGCAAGTATGACTAGCAAGACCTGCCTGTGTCAAGAAAAGTCTTCCACAATGATAGCATGGGATTTCAGGACCATTGTTAACAACATTTGTGTTTAATCCATTTCTTTTCAGACGCTCAGCTCTCGTCCTTTCTGCAGTAATTTCTTCCTTCAGTCTCATTCCCTTCCTGATATGCCCTTTCCACACAACATGGTCCATGGCGTTTTCTTTCCATGAGTCATCCTCAATACCTGTATTTCATGTCCCACTTGCACACATCTTTATAACATAGAAGAGATCGGCCTCAACATCTTCTTCCTGTCTTTAATTCACCATAAAGAATGTCCTTAGGGACTCTGCCAACCTTTATTCTCCAGGTGTGACCCAGCCACCTGAGCCTTCGTAGACTGAGCATCGAAAAGACTGTTGTAGTACCTGCTCTTTCCAGTACCTCAGTGTTTGTGATTTTGTCCTACCACTTAATGCCAAGTATTCTTCTTAGGCATCGTATGTGAAAGCTATTAAGCCGTCTCTCCTGGAGCAAATAGGTTGACCAAGTTTCATTGCCGTAAAGCAGAGTGCTGATAACACAAACCTGATAGACAAAGGGTTTTGTTTTAATTGTTAGCTTTCTGTTCTCCCAAACTCTCTTTGTCAATCTGCTCATTTTTGTTGCTGCCTTACCTATCCTGATGTTGATTTCTTGGTTCAGCGATAGTTTACTATTCACTATGGAACCCAGATAGATAAAATGGTCTACTGTCTCCAGCTCTTCACCATCAGTGTAGACTATATGTCTGCAAACAGCAGCTCTCTGATAAGTACCTTTCTTATCCTGTTTTGGGCCTTTAGCCTGTGAGCATTACATTCTTCACAAAAACCACATCTCTGTTATGAGTAAAAATTTCTCAGACTGTCTGCTTAACTTACAGTCCATGTCTCAAATACACATACAAACACAAGTTCTATATAGCAAATTGAAATATTTCCTACAGTGTCAATTTTACATTCTAATTTGTGTTGAATATTTCCTTATTACAGGTTTGTATTTGTAGACATTGGACAATCATTCTATGGATACATATCCCAAGTATCAGTCTGGAAAACAGCTCTTACTTCTAAAGAACACTTTGAAATATTTGAAGACAAGCTTGCCGTTCCTCAGCCAGACAGTCTACTTCTAGGATGGACCCAGTATTCCTTTGATAGTTCAGTGAAAATAACAAGAAACTCCACAGCAACAAGATCATTTTCGATCTGTTACGTTCAAAATACCATTGCAAAGATGGGTCTCAATAGTCCAGAGTGTAATACTATCAGGTTTACAGGTAATTGTCTTCTATTGTCTGTCTTGAGGTTGTGGTGGTAAGTCTGAAAAACCATAGAATGTGATCCCCTGGAACATTGTATACAAACTAATTTGCTCTCTCTCTCTCGTTTTCTCTCTCTCTCTCTCTCACTCTTTGTGTGTGTGTGTCCGTCCGTCCGTGCGTGGGTGCGCGCGCACGTGTGTGTGTGTGTTTATATGTTTATATGTCTGCAAATGTAAAATAGGTACAAAATAAATCAATAAATTAAAGTCTGCAAACTGTTTTAACAGATTAATGCAGATTTTTGCTAACATGTCAGCACAGATGCAACTTTTCACTATAATTTGTAAATTTTCATTAGCCTGACGCACTGCAACCTGTTGTTGATTAAAAAAAAAAGAATTTATAATAAACTGAAACTTTATCACATTTGACAAACATTGTTAGATAATAACTAAACTGAAAATTGACAACTACAGCTAAAATCATTTTCACAAAACTGATTGTAAAAAATAAAAATGTTGTTAGTTGTTAGTTGAAGTTCAAACTTCACTGCAGATAAGTCACCTCATTTCCCTGTTTCAGTGAAAATCATGCAAAATGTCCTTTGCTGTCCCATTTGAAAAGAACCGCATATCAGTTTAGGGACAATCTGGAAGTACTCAAAGTAAATGCATAAGCATCATTAGATGTACCAACACTAGCAGTCCCCTAAACACTCAGTCTCCTACAAGAATTTCCGCTCACTTGATGCAAACGGTTGATCATGAAAGCCAACATCTGCACATGCAACCCTGCATAAGCAGACACTGTTTCCAATGTAATCGGCCATCTGCCATTTTTAGTGCAGTTCATATTACAAAACCACCACAGGCACAACAGAAAAAAATATGTTTCACATGAAATCCACAGCTCGCTGTGATGCGCTAATCTCTTACCTCTGTAGCTGGGCTATGGTGCCTTTGGCCTCCCAGTCCATATATGGGGAAATTGCATCAACAAACTGCAGCTAGAAATAAATAACATTTTACAGTTATGAGTTAGGAGTTAGATTATCTGCACAGCACTCCTGACACATCTATAGGCGCTCATATTCCCCTCTCAACATATTCATCAGTGTCGTGTGGTTAATAGTACCAGTCCTATGTTGGTTAACAAGACTTTGTGTGCATCCGGTGTGCTTCTCATGCTTGGCTGTGCCGATCTTTACTCCCAATTCGCGTATTATTAGCAGTGATGTGGACACGTTGCTTCCAAAATCCTCAGAACGTCCTATCTCTCTAAGGGCAATGATAATGTCTGCGTGATCTATAGGCCGGCCATCTCCAATTAACGCAGCACCTGCCAGTCTATCAGCTCTCTCATTATCAACAACGCCTGTATGCCTTGGGACGAATATGAAAGTAACTGCACACACAGGAGAATTCTGCAACGACTCAAGCCACTGTCTGCGCAACCAGCCTGCCTCGACCCGCCGGATCATCCTCAAAGAATCACTCAGCATACACACGTGGGAATAATCCTGTGATCCCAGCCACATGAAAGCCTGTGTCACTGCCATCACCTCCATCACCATGCTGCTGGTGGTCATGGAGAAGTCACCACTGGCTTTCTGAACTGTGTTAGCACAGTGTTAGCAGCCAGCTTGCTTATTCATCAAACTGGGCTTGATGTGAAGTTTATAAAGTAATTCACCCGCTGCTTTGTTTTCTTCTAAATAATCCAGTTTTGTTAATCACTTAATAAATAATAAGGCGATATTCTTAAAGTTGAAAACACTCAGACACACATAATTTGCAATCAAAAATTGCATAATAACTTTTCTTTACACTTTGTAAGGGTTTAAAACATGTTTGTTTAATTTAAAATGAATTATACTTTATTGAAAGTGATTCATTAAAAATACTTTCCTCTTTTTTATGTTTGGAAAATTGTTCATTTTTTTCTTTCTTTGATAAAAAAAAAAGTATTGATTCATACATTGCAGATAAAACACCCCCAGAAGCAGTTGAGTGCAATGAGAGTATATTAATAACTGCTGACTACCCTCAACATCAGTTCAACTCAAGTGACCTGAGATATACATTTTTAGACGGCCTAGATGGAATAGTACCGATCCACGAAAGTAAGTAATTATAAACATGTTTATGTTTGCAATCTAAACGAAGGTTGAGATTAATCTATCTTATTTTCTAAATACATTGTATAATATAGGCATGTATGGCTGGATAACAGCTGCTTTCAACTGTTCCAAGAGAAATGAGATGGTAAAATCTTCCATATTCTGAAATGATATAGACCAGTGTTTCCCTAACTTTTCTTAGTGGCGGCGGCTTTTTTTCAATTAAAATTTTTCCACGGCGCCCTAACCTTAGTAAAAGTATGACTATTCGTATGTAAGTTTAAAATAAAAGCAAAAATCAACTTGTGTATCTTTGAATATTTCGCTGCGCCCCTGTAAAGAAGTCGCAGCTGCCCGGGGTTCCACAGCGCACAGTTTGGGAATTGCTGATATAGACAAAGAATACAGAACAGAACAGGCACTCTAATGGAAGACAAATGCCTTAAAGAAGGGAGAATGTCCAGCTGAAACTCTATGATAAACATTGATGAGAGAGGTCAGGGAGCCAAAATAAATTCCATTTACAATATCAACAGGAAGCTGCTTTGGTGTAGCGGCTAGATGCACACCTTTAGATCCTTAGGTCATGTGTTCAGTTCAAATGGCGCTATACTTTTTTTCAAAAAAATGATCTTGGCTCCCAGGTCAAACTAGCCCTGAAAAAGTCCTGGGAAGTAAAGGTGGCTGGCATGATGCTGAACACATCACACCTTAAGGTCTCAAACGGGTCCTTGACCTTTACTTAAGACATCTACAAAATTTCGACAGGATAGAACTGAATAGACAAATAAATTGTAAGGATAATGTCACAGTAAACAGCATAAAATGTTAATAAATTATCAGTGATTGTTGATTTTATTCAGTTATCTGGACGTACCGTACCCAGGAGCACACCAAAGGACATGACTCTGTATTCCTTTCTAAACTGATGGACATGGGGGTGCAGCCTGGAGCTGCAAGAAATAAACATTTCACTAAGGGGACAAGACGTTTCAGTAACCAACACAGACCAGGAGTCATCAGTTGTTTTACACTTGCTGAGCTTTTAAGAAGGAGATCGGAGCACCTATGGATCTTTCCAGAGTGCTGTGATGATAATTCTTTCTAATCACTAATCTATATGTTTTAAAACACACAAACATAGAACTTCTACCATCAGTGTTATGGAAAATGCACAACTGTTAATGTTATGTTGTGGATGTTGTGAGGGCCTTTTTGGGAGGGAGTGAACCCTGCGGAGACACTGATAGATCAATACTGTCTGAAAAGAAAGATGCTGCGAGGGATCTGGCTGACGCTCAGCCACACAGAGAAGAGGTGAGGCAGATATACAATCCGACTGTTACTGGTGCCATTGAAATTGGAACACTTCACTTGCTGCCCAAGGTGGGAACAGAGCGCTTATGGGGTTGTCCCGAGTGCTATAATGTCAATTCCTAATTCAGCATTCAACATTCCATATTTTTTAGAACTGTCTCAGCAGATTACATTTACTGATATTGATTTACTTAACTTGATACATTGTTAAGTGATTAAAATGTATACTAAGTAACTATGAAATGGTTTTTTTTTTCTGTTGCAATCTAAAACAGGCCAGCTGTTTTCTTTTGGTGCCCATGATTTAACTGTTTCATCAGAGGACTCAGCGGGAAACATTGGAGTGTGTATGATAAGGGCTTATGCTACACGTAAGTGCAATTAGATCTTCATTTTTACATAGTCTATGCTTCTTTTTCATATAGTTAATGCTGTGTGGTGTTGGTAGTCACGTGTACCCACAACCTTCTGTATTGTGTACTGTCTATCAGTCCTGACACAGAAGATCTTCCATGCAATAATGTCAGACGTTTCAGATTCTTATCTCTGTCTTTATCTGCTTTCTTTTACCCTCCATGTTTCCAAGTATCATGATTTACTTATGTTTTTTTTTTTTCAAGATATTTACCAAGGATTGTAGACTGTCTTGCTTTGATATGGACACATACCTTCATGAGTCAATTTAAAAAAAAGACACTGTTGATACTTATTTTAAAAAAACAACCTCATCTTAGTATTCCAAATAAGTGTTCAGTAATCGACCAACTATACATGATTCGCTTCCCTATATCAGAATCAGAAATATAATATCCTGAGAATACTCTTTCTTGTCTCAGTTGATAAAGAAAAATTGCACAGCATATTCTTTATTTTCTGAAAATTCTACCTAAATTGAGCTATTGTACATTTAATTTGATTGGATCTTAATAAATGTAATACTTACTTACTTACTTACTTACTTAGTCGCTCCTCTTCTACCTTGGGGTGTAGAGGTTTGCCAGAGAGATCGCCAGACGTCTCTATCAGCAGTTTTCTTTCTGGCTTTGTTCCATTCCAGTCCTCTGTCAGTCAGGGACTGTCGGATGTTGTCTTCCCAGCGCACCCTGGGTCGTCCCGGAGGTCTGGTTCCCTGGTTCTTAGCCTCCCATGCTTGCCATGGTGGCCGATTTTCTCCCATTCTGCACACATGTCCAAACCATCGTAACTGCGACTGATCCACTCGGGTTAGTAAGGGCTGGGTATCAAGATCTTGACGTATTGTCTGATTGCGGACTTTGTCCCTTCTTGTCACTTGGACCCACCTTTCTCAGGTATCTCATTTCCGAGGCCTGCAGCTGGCTTCTGTGAGCTGTTGTCATTGCCCATGACTCACACCCATAGGTCAGGACTGGTACATAGGTTTAGAGCGGTAAACAGCCATTTTCGTTCTCTTGCCAATTTCTCTTTTGCTAAGAAACCCTCGGTTTATGGCCTGGAAGAGTCTCCCAGCAGCTGCTTTTCGTGTAGCCAGCTCAGTCTTAATGCCTCCATTTTGGTCTAATACAACTCCAAGGTATTTGAACTGGTTTAACCTGCTCCAACGCATACTGACCCATCATGATCTGGTGTTTCTTCTCCTCTCTTGAGATCACCATGGTTTTAGTTTTGGAGACACTGATGGTCATCCCTTTCTTTTCAAGCTCTTCCTTCCAGACAAGTAAGTTGGACTGAAGGTGTGCCTCTGATTTAGCTATCAGGGCCACATCGTCTGCAAAAACGCCAGCTCTGATATACAGATTGGTCTCATCTTCCAGTACCCTACAGAGTACTTCTTTGTCTTCTCCTTACAGGTCTTGATGACATCATCCATCATAAAAAATGAAGAGGTAAGGTGAGAGAATATCACCTTGTCTAACACCGCTGGTGGTCTTAAATTCTTCTGACTTTTGGTCTGCTGTTCTTACATAATTTCTGCACTTTTTGTAGAAACTCTGTATTGCACTGATCAGGGGTGCTGGGATGTTTTTCCCTGCCAAGCAGTCCCAGAGCTTGTTCCAGGGTACCTTGTCAAATGCCTTTTCCAGATCCAAAAAAACATAAGTGAATCTCACTCTTATATTCCAGGGCTTTTTCACTCATCTGTCTCAGTGTGAAGATAAGGTCTTGAGTACTTCGGTTTGCTCTGAAGCCGCACTGGGCCTCGTCCAGCTGTGGCTCTACCAGACTTCTAAGTCTCTGCTCAAGAATTCTAGAGTAACTTTTACCGGGAATGCTGAGGAGGGATATGCCTCTGTGGTTTTCACATTGTCTGTTATCACCTTTTTTAAATATAGGTATAATGATGGCAATCTCCCAATCTTTTGGTATAGTTTTTGCTACACCAGGCTGCCTGGAGAACCTTCAGTAGAAGGCGCTCACCTTCGACTCCCATATATTTGACCATCTCTGGTGTTATACCATCATGACCTGCTGCTTTTCCCAGCTTAATCTTCTCAATAGCTGCCTTCAATTCTTCCATCCTGATGTTATCTTCCCCATGATTGAATTCCTTCTCAGCAGTGAGGTCCATTATTTCTGGGTCATGACTTCCCCTCAGCGCCGAGGAGCTCTGAGAAGTATTCTTTCCATCTGCCCATGATATCATTTGTAGAAGTAAGCAGAGCCCCTTCCTTGTCTTTTATGAATTTAAGTGGGCACTCTTTCTCCTTCCTCATGTTCTTAAGGGTCTTGTAGAACAGTTTTTTGGTTTTCTCTTGCATTCTTTTCCAACTTTTTCTCCAAACTCTTCCCATGATTTCTGTTTTTGCTTTAAAGCACAATATTTTTGTGTCTCTGTTCTGAGTGCCACATATTGTTTATATTTTTCTATTTCTTCAGCTGTGTTCCTGGCTGCCAGGTATTGCTTCCATGCCCTTTTCTTTTCTCCTATTTTCAATTTGACTTCTTCTGTCCACCAAGGTGTCCTGTGTCCCCGCCTTCCACTTGGGACTTCACCACATGCTTCTACTGCAGCTGCTGTGAGGATATTCTTGAATCTGCACACCAGAGAGTTTCAGTGTCCTCTGATGATTCTTCTTCAGTTCCTATTGCTTTCACTATAAGCTCCTGGTATCTAGCCTTAATATCTGGCTCTCTTAGCTTGTATGCTTTAATCCTCATCCCTTCTTGGTTGCTTGGTTTCTTGCATAGTTGTCGGTGTGTTGCCTTGTTGGAGCAGTTCTTTCAGTTGTTCTCTTTATTGTGACCAGATAGTGGTCACTTCCAATCTCTGGTCCTCTCATGACTCTGGCATCTCTCACAAACTTGAATGAACTTTTCCTAACTAGGCGTAGTCAATGATGGATTTTTCTTTCTTTGAAGGTTCACATCTTGTGTACGCATGTATACGCTTGTGGGGGGAATTTTGTGTTTGTAATGACAAGGTTCTGTTCCCTGCAGAATCTGAGAAGTCGCTTGCCATTATCATTCAAAACATCTTCACCTATCTCCCGATCACTCCACCCCATCTAGAGTGATCATTTCCTACTCTGGCATTTAGATCTCCTAGGAGGATAATTTCATCGTGACAGTCATCTATGGTCTTTTGGAGCAGTTCAAAGAATTCTTCTTTAACATCTACTCGCTCATCTTCATTTGGCCCGTACACAATGACAAAATTGACAATTTTATCTTCTTCTTTCAGATCTAACACCATTATTCGCTCTGAGATGAATTTCCATCCCTTGATGTTACTAACTTGATTCCTGGCCACAATACAGCCAACACCTCCCTTGGCTCTCTCCGTCATAGGGACACCACTGTAGAGCAGCATACTTCCATCGTGATCTGTGATTCCTTGCCCCTTTTTCTTGGTTTCAGTCAGAGCCAAGACTCCTAATTTTGCTTTCCTCATCTCCCCTACTAACTCGTTTTCCTTTCCGTTAATGCCTCTTATATTCCATGTTCCATAAATCGTAGTCCGTAAGCCATGCCAGTTCGTCGCCGTTAAGATCCGTCCGGTTTTCTCTCTGTAGTTACTTGTAATCGTGGTTTAAGGCAAACAGGTGATTGGCCTGTTGTGCCTTTGCATGGTGGAGGGGCTGCCTCCTTGCGGCCTCCATGCAGGCCGTCTGGCTGATTCACGGTTACCCACTACTTCCGGAGACGCATGAAGCACTCAGGTTCAGCCAGACCCTCCTCCTTTTACAGCCGGGCTTGGGACCGGTCTTAGCGGAGTTAATAAATGTAATATAAAAAAAAAAAAAAAAAAAAAAAAAAAAAAAAAAAAAAAAAAAAAAATAAATGTAATATAATTTATATATTTTCAGTATTCAGTGTAAAATATATTTATTTATGCTCTGATTATGAATACCACACGGTCATACACATGACTGGTCATCAAGAAAAAACAGTGGCTGACTACTACAAAGTTTGACAACTGATACTGGAAACGCATTGGGCATAAGCAAGGGAACTGTCAGTGGAACGACAAAGTTTCTGACAATTCATAAAGTGCAGCTTTCTTCAAGGGACCTAATTGAATAGACTTTAAATTAAAAAAGAAAAATGTTTTTTTGCTGAATTGCCAAATTTACCCTAAGCAGAGTCAAACCCAAAACTTTCGGGCTAGCAGGCGAACATCTAGCTATGACGCTACTCATCATCATCATCATTCTTATGTGCCCTGATAACTGGCGTAGGCGCTCTTGCATCTCCACCGGTCACGATCCCTGGTTGCCTGGAACAGCTCTCCTGATGATATCCCTCTATGCCATTATTTAAGCTCATCCAGCATCATCTCTTTTGGTCTGCCTTTACCCCTTTTTCCACTGATCTTTCCAGTTGTCACAATGTTCTCCATTGTCTCTCTTCTCATTAGGTGGCCAAAGAACAGTGTTTGTCTCTCTCTCTCTTATTGTTGCATATATCTACTTTCATTAGATTCTTTCAAACAATTGTTGTCAGTTACTCTGGCCGTCTATTTAAAGTGTTTGCATATGTTCTTTAAATTCCTACGATGTCTCTCATTGAGAATTGTATTTTTATCATAAGATTTAGTTTTACGGAGAGAAATAAGTAAAATTACCAGATAACTTAGGCAAAGAAACAGCCCACCAACAGCAGTGTGGGGATCTCTTGAGAGTGCTTTATGTGTCAGCAGCAGCATGACAAGGGTATGGGAAGGTGTATAGACTGTTTTTTACCATATGAGAATTATTTTCTTCCTCACAGAGTCAGGCTCCAGAACCCACACATGGACTAAAAAAGCTATAAAACATGTTCACTTTCATGTATGTGTCATGTTCACTTTCATGTATGTGTCATGTTCACTTTCATGTATGTGTCATGTTCACTTTCATGTATGTGTCATGTTCACTTTCATGTATGTGTCATGTTCACTTTCATTTATGTG